ACGTTACAAGGACTTCTGACTCAAACTTAGCCTCATGAGTTCACAGTTCACCACTTTCAGCCCGGTGACTTGGTGCTGATTAAGACTTGGAAAGAAGACAAGATCCACCCATGCTGGGAAGGTCCATATCCAATGCTTTTAACCACTGAAACAGCCATGTGAACAGCTGAATAGGAATGAACTCACTATACTTGAGCCAAGGGACTAGTAAAAGAGACCCCAGAAGGGAGGGAAAAAGACCAGTGAAAAGTGCATGGGTCACCTGAGGAACCCTTAAAGTTAACTCTGAGAAAGATCTAAAAAGAAAACATGGCGGGGCATGGTGGCTCACATTTGTAATCCCAGCACTTTGGGAGGCTGAGGTGGGTGAATCACCTGAGGTCAGGAGTTTGAGACCAGCCTGACCAACAAGGAAAAACCCTGTCTCTACTAAAAATACAAAATTAGCCAGGCATGGTGGCACATGCCTGTAATCCCAGCTACTCAGGAGGCTGAGGCAGGGGAATTGCTTGAACCCGGGAGGTGGAGGTTGCAGTGAGCCAAGATTGTGCCATTGCACTCCAGCTTAGGCAACAAGAGTGAAACTCTGTCAAAAAAAAAAAAAAAAAAAAAAAAAAGAAAGGAAGGAAGGAAGAAAGAAAGAAAGAAAACATGGGCTGGTCCTGTTTCTGGAAGCCAGTATGACTGGGATGGGCTACTATACAAAGAGCAGAAGGTCAGAATAGTAACTGGCAGGGGACTCCTCCCTACCCAATCATCAGGTTGGTGATTAATGTGACCAAGATAGCAGGACTCCAAACTACAAGATTTAATGCCAGGTCTTACCTTGTGGGAATTTGGAAAATCAGAGACAGCTCTCACAGGTGGATAAATATATTTGCCCTGAACCAAAAAATAAGGTTGGGATTTCACCATGTTGACCAGGCTGGTCTCAAACTCCTGACCTCAGATGATCTGTCTGCCTCAGCCCCCCAAAGTGCTGGGATTATAGGCGTGAGCCATCGTGCCCAGCCAACAACTCCATCTTGAGTAGGAGCTGGGTGAAATAAGGCTGAGACCTACAGGGCTGCATAGGTTAAGGCACTATTAGTCAAAGAATAAGATAGGAGGTCGGCACAAGATACAAGTCATAAAGACATTGCTGGTAAAACAGATTGTGGCAAAGAAACTGGCAAAACCCCACCAAAACCAAGATGGCAGTAAAAGGGACCTCTGGTTGTCCTCATTGCTCATTATACACTAATTATAATGCTATAATAAAAGAAACTCCTACCAGCACAATGGCAGTTTACAGATGCCATGGCAATGTCACGAAGTTACCCTATATGGTCTAAAAGGGGGAGGAACCCTCAGTTCTAGGAATTGCCCACCCCTTTCCTGGAAAACTCATTAATAATCCACCCCTCGTTTAGCATATAATCAAGAAATAACTATAAATATACTTAGTCCAGCAGCCCAAACTGCTGCTTTGTTCTATGGAGTAGCCATTCTTTCATTCCTTTACTTTCTTAATAAACTTGCTTTCACTTTACTCTATGGATTTGCCTTGAATTCTTTCTCGTATGAGGTCCAAGAACCCTCTCTTGGGGTCTGGACCAGACCCCTTTCTAGTAACAACAGCACAGTCTAGAATCTGATAGCCCTAATATTTGTTTCCCAGCCCAGTCACTTAGAGGCTAGGTGTTTTTGACCTCTCTTTTGTGCCTCAACTTCCTCATTTGTAAAAATGGGTACAAAGCCGGGTGCAGTGGCTCACACCTGTAGTCCCAGCACTTTGAGAGGCCAAGGCAGGTAGATCGCAAGGTCAAGAGATCGAGATCATCCTGGCCAACATGGTGAAACCCCCTCTCTACTAAAAATACAAAAATTAGCTGGGAGTGGTGGCACACGCCTGTGGTCCCAGCTACTTGGGAGGCTGAGGCAGGAGAATCTCTTGAACCCAGGAGGCAGAGGTTGCAGTGAGCTGAGATCGCGCCATTGCACTCCAGCCTGGAAGACAAAGCAAGACCTTTTCTCAAAAAAAGAAGAAGAAGAAGAAAAAGAAGACAGAATAAAAGTTGTTTGTTTTGAGACAGGGTCTCACTCTGTAACCCGGGGGGGAGTGCCATACTGCACTCATAGCTCACTATAACCTCGAACTTCCAGGCTCAAGCAATCCTTCCACCTTGGCCTCCCAAGTAGCTTGGACTACAGGTGTGTGACACCACATTGTGGGACACCGCCCCCAATATTTCAATGTTGGTTCTTTCTATTTTCCATAAGTGTCAGCTGGCTGAGAAATAAAGAGAGACAGTAAAAAGAGAGGAATTTTACAACTGGGCTGCCGGGAGTAACATCACATATCGGTAGGACCACAATGCCCACCTGAGTCTCAGACCAGCAAGTTTTTATTAAGGGTTTCAAAAGGGGAGGGGGTGTAAGAACAGGGAGTAGGTACAAAGATCACATGCTTCAAAGGGCAAAAAGCAGAACTACTAATAAGGGTCTAACAAAGATCACAGCAAAGAGCAAAAGCAGAACCACTGATAAGGGTCTATGTTCAGTGGTGCACGTATTGTCTTGATAAACATCTTAAACAAAAGAAAACAGGGTTTGAGAGCAGAGAACCAGTCTGACCACAAATTTACCAGGGTGGAGTTTTTCCCCACCCCAGTAAGCCTGAGGGCACTGCAGGAGACCAGGGCATATCTCCATCCTTATCTCAACCGCATAAGACAGACATTCCCAGAGCAGCCGTTTATAGACCTCCCCACAGGAATGCATTTCTTTCCCAGGGTATATTAATATTCCTTGCTAGGAAAATAATTTAGCCATCTGTCTCCTACTTGCACGTCCGTTTATTGGCTCTCTGCAAGAAGAAAAATATGGCTGTTTTTGCCCAACCCCACAGGCAGTCAGACCTTATGGTTGTCTTCCCTTGTTTCCTAAAAATCATGGTTATTCTGTTCTTTTTCAAGGTGCACTGATTTCATGTTGTTCAAACACACGTTTTACAATCAATTTGTACAGTTAACACAATTATCACAGTGGTCCTGACGTACATCCTCAGTTTACGAAGATAACAGGATTAAGAGATTAAAGACTGGCATAAGAAATTATAAAAGTATTATTTTGGAACTGATAAATATCCATGAAATCTTCACAATTTATGTTCCTCTGCCACGGCTCCAGCTGGTTCCTCCATTCGGCGTCGCTGACTTCCCGCAACACCACCACACCCAGCTAATTTTTTATTTTATTTTATTTTTTGGTTAGAGATGGGGTCTCAATATGTTGTCAGGAGTGGTTTCAAACTCCTGGGCTCAAGTAATCCTCCCGCCTCAGCCAAATTGCTGGGATTACAGGCATGAGCCACCGCTCCCAGCTTACAATAAAAGCATTTGCCTCATGCCATTGCGAGGATTAAATAACAATGCACTTGTGCTTAGTACAGTGCCTGACATAGAGCAAGTGCTCAGAAAACAAGTTAAATGATATGCCAGGCAAGGTGTCAGAGCCCTGGAATGGGGAAATGTTTGACTTGTGGGTTGGTAAGAAGGATTTATTGACAACAGTATAGGTTTGAAAAGGAAAGCTTTTTGTTTTTTGGTTTTTTTTTTTTTGAGACGGAGTTTCACTCTTGTTGCCCAGGCTGCAGTGCAATGGTGCCATCTTGCCTCACTGTAACCTCTGCCTCCCGGGTTCAAGTGATTATCCTGCCTCTGGCTCCTGAGTAGCTGGGATTACAGGCATGAACCACCATGCCTGGCTAATTTTGTATTTTTAGTAGAGACGGGGTTTCTCCATGTTGGTTAGGCTAGTCTTGAACTCCCGACCTCAGGTGGTCTGCCCACCTTGGCCTCCCAAAGTGCTGGGATTACATGTGTGAGCCACCGTGCCCGGCTGGAAAGTTTTATTAGAAAGAAAGAACGCTGCAGAGGAGTACAGAGGGATGCCTCAGCAAGAAAGAACTGACCATGCTGGTGGATTTTCCTTAGGGGTATTTATGGACCTTAAAGGGGAAGCTTGAGGGCAATTTGGACCACACTAGCCACGTAGGTCATGATAAATGATTACATTCATAGTAATTCTGGTGCCTTAATGTCAGCAAGGGTTGCAAAGTGAGTTTTGGCATGGCATTCCCGAGTGTATAGAAATTCTAGTTGCTTATACATTTTAAGTTTAAAAGAGTCCTGGAACCAGATGCCAACATTAGATACTAGGGTAGTTTAATTACTTTTAAAGTCCTCAGATAAGAATTTTTAGTCTCCAGGACCTGTTCAAAGGTCGCCAGGTGATTTTTGCTCTCCTCATGATACAATAAGATGCTGGCTTATTTGACTGGTCACAGATGATGCATCGAATGTTCTGGGTCTGTTAAGCCTCACAATAGCTCAGGTTTTATCTTAATTGTACAGATAATAATAGCACATGCTGACTAGGTGCCAGGCATTGTTTTAAGCATTTTGCTAACTTAGTCCTCACAGCAATCCTAAAAGGTAGGTGCTACATATTACAATACCTGCTGTACTGGGGAGGAGACAAAGCATAAGAAACTTGATTAAGTTCAGAAGCAGTGGCGTGATCCTGGCTCACTGCCACCTCCAACTCCTGGGCTCAAGCGATCCTCCCGCCTTGGCCTCCCAAAGTTCTGGGATTACAGGCGTGAGCTACCGCGCCCAGCTCAGGGTCTACACTCTTAACTGTACTGCCTTTCAACAGCATGTGAGGAACAGAGAGAGGAGAGAGAGACTCCCATTACCAATCAGGAGCTCCAGGTGTATTTCAAACCCTAGGATTATCACCGTGTGCAGCAGATGGCGCCCTGGAGCGTAGCAATAGGCCGGACCTGTACACGGAGTCAAAACTACCATACCCACAATGCTATGGGGTATCAAAGTCCAACCCTACTGGTTAGCTGTCCGAGGTAGTGCCTGTGCGCGTTCCTGTGGGAAATTGTGTACTGAGGCCATTCGGGACCTTCCTTTATCTGCATAAGACAAGTTAAAAAGTGTTTTATCCTCCTCTTATCCTCCTTGTCTTACTAGTTGGCGAGCAATAGGGCTGAAACAAGGCTGCTGTTTGTTGGCCTCACCTGCGCTAGCCTAACGTGAGGACCCTTGACCTCTGGGCCAAGATGGTGGCGCTCAGAGCTTCGCTCTTGCTGCTGTCGTGAGGTGAACTGAAGCCAGCAGCCCCGCATCATGTCGAAGCTCGGCCGGACCACCCGGGGCCTCAGGAAGCCCGAGGTCGGCGGTGTGATCCGGACCATCGTGCGGGCAGGCCTGGCCATGCCCGGGCCCCCACTAGGCCCAGTGCTGGGTCAGGTGCGGCCGTGGCGGGAACCCGACGTGGGGGTTGTCGAGGGTGGTGGAAGCTAGGACGCGGATGGACGGCGCTGGCTCTGGAACTACCGGGGCCTGGGTTCAGAGCTCGGCTCTGCTTCTCACACGCTTTACGTCCTTGTGCTGGTTACAAAGGCTCTTCCGCCTGGGCTTCCTCATCCCTTCCCAATGTGCTGTGATGAGGATAACGTGGGAAGATGCGTACAGATCTTCTGGCTCACGGAGGGGTAGTTGAATCTGGGTAGAGATAGGAACACAGAGAAGTGAAGACGAAGGAGGGAATGGACGGCGCCTCCTGGGCAGTAGGAAGCCGTCCCCTCCTCCCACCACTAACCCCCTCTGCTTCCCTCACAGAGAGGTGTTTCCATCAACCAATTTTGCAAGGAGTTCAATGAGAGGACAAAGGACATCAAAGAAGGCATTCCTCTGCCTACCAAGATTTTTGTGAAGGTGGAGTCTGGACCGATCCCTGGTTTCTTTCTCCCTCTCTTCTTCCTCGGCCCTGGGGCTGGTCATCTGGGGTTTTCTCAGCTCCTGACTTGACTTCCTATTACTGGGCTCCACTTTCCCCATTTAGGACTAGACCATATTTTTTCTGAACCAGCCCCATCTTGCCATGTTGCCATTCCTCCCTTTGCCCTTCCATCTCACTGGGCCTTCCAGAGCAGAATTAGGGCAGGAATAGAGAGGACAGGGTTGCTTGCTGCAGATTTATCTTTTCTTTCTTTTTTTTTTTTTTGAAATGGAGTTTTGCCCTTGTAGCCCAGGCTGGAGTGCAATGGCACGATCTCGGCTCACTGCAACCTCCTTCTCCCGGGTTCAAGCAATTCTCCTGCCTCAGCCTCCTCCTGAGTAGCTGGGATTACAGGCGCCTGCCACCATGTCTGCTAATTTTTGTATTTTTAGTAGAGATGGGGTTTCACCATGTTGGTCAGGCTGGTCTTGAACTCCTGTCCTCAGGTGATCCACCCACCTTTTCCTCCCAAAGTGCTGGGATTACAGGCATAAGCCACTGCGCCTGGCCCAGATTTATTTTTTTCTTGTGATTCTGTGGTCTTTTTGAGGGATGCCATAGGAAAGTGAGATGAAGGAAGCAGGGACAGGACATTAAAAGTTCCCTGGGATGGGGCAGCAGGAAGAGAGAATCTCATATTTCTTTTTTCTGTTAAGCCTGACAGGACATTTGAAATCAAGATTGGACAGCCCACTGTTTCCTACTTCTTGAAGGCAGCAGCTGGAATTGAAAAGGGGGCCCGGCAAACAGGTGAGGGTCAGGGTAGGCGTCTGAGATTCTGGGGACTCCAGAATCTCAGTAACACCTGAAGAACCACTTGTTCCTTCCTTCTAGGGAAAGAGGTGGCAGGCCTGGTGACCTTGAAGCACGTGTATGAGATTGCCTGCATCAAAGCTCAGGATGAGGCATTCGCCCTGCAGGACGTACCCCTGTCCTCTGTTGTCCGCTCCATCATCGGGTCTGCCCGTTCTCTGGGCATTCGTGTGGTGAAGGAGTAAGTGTCCTGGCAGGTGCAGTGTGACGAGAGGGCCCAGAAAGCTCTGGACTCGGGCAGAGCTGAGAGGGCCCATTGCAGTGGGAAAGTCAGTTTTTAAGTCAGGGGACCCTAGATTCTAGAGGATAGAGTGGGTGTGGGAGACCACATTCATTGATTTGGAATACTCTTATTGGGCACCTGTTATGTATTAGATATTGTTCTGCAAATGTTCTAAGAAATGGAAAGATCTCCATGAAGGATCCAAGTGGGAGAAGTTCAGTGTCACCCGGGTCTGTCATCCTAGTCTGGCTGACACCTCAAAGGATGAGTAGGGATTTAATAAGGGAACAAAAGATAGGGGTTTTGGGGGTTGGGAGATGGTGTCCCTGGAAAGCAAAGGTATAGAGGCTGGGAAGTCAGGGAGGGAGAAGGGGCCAGGCAAGCTGGGCTCTGAGACAGAGGCCCCTTTGAGCCCCTGCAAGACATGGGGTCCTGTGAGCTCCCACTGGTGACTAATCATGCGCCAACCATCTGTCTGTCTTCACTTGCAGCCTCAGTTCAGAAGAACTTGCAGCTTTCCAGAAGGAACGAGCCATCTTCCTGGCTGCTCAGAAGGAGGCAGATTTGGCCGCCCAGGAGGAAGCTGCCAAGAAGTGACCCTTGCCCCCCTTCTCCCAGATTTCAAAGGAGGCAGCTGGGAAGGGGACCAGTTGCAAAGGCTGTGCCCCAGGGGAGGAAGGAGGTCACACCAATATGATGATGGTTTTCGTGACTTTGAATGATGTATTTTTGTACATTTAGCTGTATTGAGGCATCAGGCCTGAATAAACATCCTTTCTTACCCACTGTCATCTTCTATCTTGGGACCTCAGGGAAGGGGACCAGTACTGGTGGTAGCCAACATGGGCAGACATTAGGAAATTGGGGTCTTCATGCTGCTTCTCAGATGTGCAAATTGAGGTTCAGCCAAGCAAAGTAACTTGCCCAGGTCCTTTTTTTCTTTTAAGTTATAATTTTGCTTTATTGCCCAGGTTCTGAATTGGTGCCAGAGGTAGGAATAGAACACAGGGCTTCTCATTTGAAATCCTTTGTTCTTCCCCTCCCCAGGGTGGGAACCATAGGTGCTAGGGCTGGGGTGTATTGCTTGCTTCTTCCATCAAAAATCTCTTTGTCTCCTAATGATTTGCCACCTCAGCAGAAACAGGTCCCTGTGGAGGTCTCAGCTCAGCCCCAGGCAGAGTTACTACATGGAGTGCCCAGATCCCAGGGGCTACCTCAGGCCCTTCTACTAAGCTTCTGACCCTGGCTCTGGGTCAGATGTTGGCTGAACATGAACTATTGTAGGGCTGACAGCTACAGACCACAGAAAGAGCAAAGCTTCAGCAGGTTCCTGCCTGATGCAGAAGTCCTCGGGAAGCCCTTGGCCTTTTATTTCCTCATTGTCCTTTCAGAGAAGAGAGCAGGAGTTGGGGGAGAAAGAAGTTTCGTGTTTACTGAACATCTGTTATGTGCTAGACACTTCATTTTATACTGATAAAATATGGAAAGCATAGATAAACACCTAAAAGAATATAAAATCCTCACGTTATCCCACCACCCAGATGAGACTTCTGCCAATGTTTGTTGTATATCTTTTCTGCTCTTTTTTTTTTCTTTGTGTATTTATGTATAATGCTTTTTGAAAAAGCAAACTGGGGTCATCCTCTATATAGCTGTATAATGCTGTATACTTTTAACTTGGCAACTATTTAGAACATTTAAAAATTATCTTTTTTTTTTTTGAGATGGAGTCTCGTTCTGTCGCCCAGGCTGGAGTGCAGTGCATGATCTTGGCTCACTTCAAGCTCCGCCTCCCAGGTTCACGCCATTCTCCTGCCTCAGCCTCCTAAGTAGCTGGGACTACAGGCGCCCGCCACCATGCCCGGCTAAATTTTTTTGTATTTTTACTAGAGACGGGATTTCACTGTGTTAGCCAGGATGGTCTCGATCTCCTGACCTCATAATCTGCCCACCTCCGCCTCCCAAAGTGCTGGGATTACAGGTGTGAGCCACCACGCCTAGCCTAAAAATTGTCTTTCTAAAACAATTTTAAATGATGGCTTAGGTTTTTTTTGTTTTTGTTTTTGGTTTTTTTTTTTTTGTGAGATGGAGTCTGACTCTGTCACCCAGGCTGGAGTGCAGTGGCACGATCTTGGCTCACTGCAACCTCTGCCTCTCAAGTTCAAGTGATTCTCCTGTGTCAGCCTCCCAAATAGCTGGGGTTACAAGCGCCCGCCAACACACATGGCTAATTTTTGTATTTTCAGTACAGACAGGGTTTCACCATGTTGGCCAGGCTGGTCTTGAACTCCTGACCTCAGGAGATCCACCCGCGTTGGCCTCCCAAAGTGCTGGGATTACAGGTGTGAGCCACCATGCCCGACCAATACTTCATTTAAAAAAAAAATTTTTTTTTAATTAATTAATTTATGTTTTTGAGACATAATAAATTAATTAATTTATGTTTTGAGCCTTGTCACCCAGGCTGGAGTGCCGTGGCACGATCTCAGCGTACTGCAGCCTCTGCCTGCTGGGTTCAAGCGATTCTCCTGCCTCAGCCTCCCAAGTAGGTGGGATTACAGGCACCCACCACCACGCCTGGCTAATTTTTGTATTTTTAGTAGAGATAGGGTTTCACCATGTTGGCCAGGCTGGTCTCAAATTCCTGACCTTGTGATCTGCCTCCCTCGGCCTCCCAAAGTGCTGGGATTACAGGCGTGAGCCACCGCACCTGGCTTTTTCATTTTTAAATGTTTTAGAGACAGGGTCTTACTCTGTAACCTAGGCAATGGTGTGGTAATAGCTCACTGCAGCCTCAGGGATCCTCCAGCCTCAGTTTCCCAAGTATCTGGGACTACAGGTGCATGCCACTATGCCTGGTGAATTTTAAATTATGTTTATTTTTTATTTACTTTTATTTTATTTTATTTTTATTTTTGTTGTTGGTGGTGGTGTTTTTGGAGATGGAGTTTCGCTTTTGTCTCCAAGACAAGAAATGGCTCAGTCTTGGCTCACTGCAACCTCTGCCTCCTGGGTTTAAGCGATTCTACTGCCTCAGCCTCCCAAGTAGCTGGAATTATAGGCATGCGCCACCACACCTAGCTAATTTTTGTGTTTACAGTAAAGATGGGGTTTCATCATGTTGGCCAGGCTGGTCTGAAACTCCTGACCTCAAGTAATCTTCCCAGCTTGGCATCCCAAACTGCTGGGATTACAGGCGTGAGTCACCATGTCTGACCTGTTTTATTTTTTAAAAAGACAGTATTTCACTATGTTGCCCAGGCTGGTCTCAAGCTCCTGGCCTCAAATGGTCTCGCCTCAGCCTCTCAAAACACTGGGCTTACAGGCATGAGCCACTGTGCCCAACGAAGTCTCTTTCTTTCCTTCTTTCCTTCCTTCTTTCTCTCTCTTTCTTTCTTCTTTTTCTTCCCTTCCTTTTTTGAGACAGGGTCTTGCCCTGTTGCCAGGCTGGAGTGCAGTGGTGTAATCATAGCTCACTGTAGCCTCCAACTCCTGGCCTCAAGTGATTCTCACATCAGCCTCCCAAGTGGTTAGGACCACAGGTGCACACCACCATGCCTGGCTAATTTTTTAAATTATATTTTTCTGTAGAGATGAGATTTCACCATGTTGCCCAGTCTGCTCTCAAACTTGTAGGCTCAAGCGATCCTCCCACCTCGGCCTTCCAAACTGCTGGGATAACAGTCATGAGCCACCATGACTGGAATCTTGTTTAATTTTAATTTTTCTTTTTTCTAAGAAATGTCAGGCCATAAACCATTCTTAGAGCTCACTGATTTCTGAACACGAAGTGTAGAAATAGCCTCTTCCTCTTTGCCCCAATATCATGGGCACAGCAGACCAACAGCATCTGCGGTGCTGGCAGGTTCCGAGCGGCATCTTCAGGGTAGTCACCCATACCTACTCAGCAAGCCAGAGACACTCAGCCTGCAGCCAGGGTGGGCATCCTTTCTTATCTTTTAAAAGTTTCTTGGCCAGGCATGGTGTTGCACACCTGTAATCCCAGCACTTTAGGAGGCCGAGGTGGGCAGATCACCTGAGGTCAGGAGTTAGATACCAGCCTGACCAACATGGTGAAACTCTGTCTCTACTAAAAAAAAAAAAAAAAAAAAAATAGCTGAGCATAGTGGCAGACACCTATAATCCCAGCTACTCAGGAGGCTGAGGCAGGAGAATCACTTGACCCTGGGAGGCAGAGGTTGCAGTAAGCCGAGATTATGCCACTGCACTCCAACCTGGGTGACAAGAGCGAAACCCCATCCCAAAAAAAAAAAAAAAAAAGGAAAACAAACAAAAAAAAACTTTCTTATCCATTTTTCCATCTTTTTATCATTTTTTTTTTTTTCTTTTGAGATGGAGTCTCACTCTGTCACCTAGGCTGGAGTGCAATGGCACAATCTCAGCTCACTGCAACCTCCGCCTCCCAGGTTTAAGCAATTCTCCTGCCTCAGCCTCCTGAGTAGCTGGGATTACAGGCGCCCACCACCACTCCTGGCTAATTTTTTGTGTTTTTAGTAGAGATAGGATTTCACCGTGTTAGCAGGATGGTCTCAATCTCCTGACCCCGTGATCTACCCGCCTCGGCCTCCCAAAGTGCTGGGATTACTGGCGTGAGCCAACAACACACCTGGCCTTTTTTTTTTTTTTTGAGACAAGATCTCACTTTTTTCACCCAGGCTGGACTGCAGTGGTGCAAGTGCAATCAAGGCTCACAGCAGCCTTGCCCTTCTGGGCTCAGGTGATCTTCCCACCTCAGCCTTTTGGGTAGCTGGGACTACAGGTGCACACCACGCCTGGCTAACTTTTTGCTTTTTTTTTTTTTTTTTTTTGGAGAGACAGGGATTCGTCTTGTTGCCCAGGCTGGTTTCAAACTCCTGGGCTCAAGCTATCCACCTGCCTCAGCCTCCCAAAGTGCTAGGATTATAGGCATGAGCCCCTGTGCCTGGCCTGTTCTTCTTTCTTATCGTTTAGCTCAATGTCACCTTAGAAGAGTTTTCTGACTCCACACTCTAAATTAGCACCCCCTCCTCAGTTCCTCGCTGCCACAGCACGCAAGTTCTTTCTTTCATTGCACACACTGCATGCTCCTTTTAGAGAGTTATTTTACTTTTTGTTATGTCTCCCCACAACTTCAGTGTAAGGTCTGTGAGTCCAGGGACCTTGTCTGTCTTGTTCAGTTTTCCCCAGCACCTAGCAAAGTCCTGGCACATGTAGGTGTCATAAGTGTTTATCACATGCAAAATGAGGTGCCAGAGTCAGTATTTGAGCTCAGTCTTTGTGACCCCAAAACTTCAGCCCTTTCTCATACCTTTTTGCTACCAGGGCAGCAATCTGGTGTTGGTGGCAAGGGTGCTTGAGAGTCAGATTTGGCTTCGGCAGCCACTTTGGAAGTGCCATTGGGCAATTCCTTTCTTCTCTCTGGGCCTCAGTTTACCCATCTCTTCTAAGATGCAATATTGATGCTCCGAGCCACAGGGACCCTGCCAGGGAAGGGAACAGAAGCAGATAGTTCTATGACCAGCAGGGGGTGCCATGAGCTCTCTCAACTTCTTTCTCCGCACGGGCGGACTGCCTGGCTCTGCAGTTCCGAGTGTGAGGGTGGCTTCTTGTCCACATACACTCTACCATCTCCTGTCACTGCCCCCAAATACCAAGGAGGGGTTTCTTTTTTTCTTCCATAATTTTTACTTTTTAATGTTGTGGGGCGGCCAGGCGCGGTGGCTCATGCCTGTAATCCCAGCACTTTGGGAGGCTGAGGCGGGTGGATCACGAGGTCAAGAGATTGAGACCAGCCTGGCCAATATGGTGAAACCCCATCTCTACTAAAAATAGAAAAATTAGCCGGCCGTGGTGGCAGGCGCCTGGAATCCCAGCTACCCAGGAGGCTGAGGCAGGAGAATTGCTGGGACCCGAGAGGCAGAGGCTGCCATGAGCCAAGATCATGCCACTGCACTCCAGCCTGGGCGACAGAGCAAGACTCCATCTCAAAAAAAAAAAAAAAAGATGGGGGCTTTTCTGTTTTGTTTTGTTTTTTGAGACAGAGTCTTACTCTGTCACCCAGGCTGGAGTGCAATGGCACAATCTCGACTCACTGTAACCTCCGCCTAACGAATTCAAGTGATTCTCCTGCCTCAGTCTCCTGAATAGCTGGGATTACAGGCTCACGCCACCATGCCCAGCTAATTTTTGTATTTTTAGCGGAGACAGGGTTTCACCATGTTGGCCAGGCTGCTGTCGAACTCCTGACCTCAGGTGATCCACACACCTCAGCCTCCCAAAGTGGTGGGATTACAGGCGTGAGCCACCATGCCCGGCCTATTATAGATTTAGACTTAGAGAAAAGTTGTGAAGATCCTACAAAGTTCCCACAGACCCCACAGCCATTTCCCCCATTACCAACATCTTACACTTCCATGATACACTTGTCACAATGAATGAATCAATGTTGATGCAGTATTATCAACTGAAGTCCGTCCTTTATTCAGACTTCCTCATTACCTTTTGTCCTTTTTCTGTTCTAGTATACTACATTCTATTTCATCATTATGTTTCCTTAGGTTTCTCAGATTTTCTTTTTTGTTTTGTTTTGTTTTGGGGGCAGGATTTTGCTCTGTTGCCCAGGTTGGAGTGCAATGGTATGACCATAGCTCATTGCAGTCTCTAACTTCTGGGCTTAAGCAATCCTCCCACATCAGCCTCTCAAGTAGATGGAACTACAGGTGCATGCCACCATGCCCAGCTAATTTTTGTTTGTAGAGGTTGGGTCTTGCTTTGTTGCCCAGGCTGGTATTGAACTCGTGGGCTCAGGCCATCCTCCCACCTCGTCCTCCCAAAGTTCTGGGATTATAGGCATGAGCTGCCACAATTTCCCGACCAGACTTTCCTTTTTTTTTTTTTAATGACCCCAGGGAGGTTTTTAGATGGGACTCCAGTGTGCGTCCTGAGCTCATGGTCACTTAAGATTCCCTCTGGGGAACTTGGGAACACATTTTTACAGCAGAAACTGATGACTCTAATGAAATCCTTGGATCTTCAGAAGTGTCCTCTCAGCCAGGTGGGGTACTGTGCACCTGTAATCCCAGTACTTTGGGAGGATGAGGCAGGAGGATCACTTGAGCCCAGGAGTTTGACTCCAGCCTGGGCAATATAGTGAACCTTGTCTCAAAAGGAAGAATGAAAGAATGAAAGAACAAAGAAGAAAGAAAAAAGAAAGAAGGTAAGAAAGAAAGAAAGAAAGAGTGAACGAACTAATGAAAGAAAGAAGTTCCTTTCAATAAATGTGAGACCCTGTCTAAAATGAAGAAGAGAAAGAAAGAGAGAAAGAGAGAGAAAGAAAGATAGACAGAAAGAAAGAAAGAGAGAGAGAAAGAGAGAGAGAGAGAGAAAAAGAAAGAAAAAGAAAGAAGAAAGAAAGAAGAAAGAAAAAGAAAGAGAGAAGAAAGAAAAAAACAGATTCCTTTCAAGAAGACATTTCGAGTGTGCTTGCTATGTGCCAGTCCTGTGCTCTGTGCCAGGGTCCTCCTGGGGTTGACAGTCCAGTTATTTTGTCCAAGTTGGAGAACAGATGCACAAGGAAGGCAGAGGGCAAAACTCCACTCTCCTGTTCCACCCAAGGACCTGTCCAAGGTGGAAAAATAGTGACAGGTCCCCAGGAGTGTCCTCCTTCCCATGGGACTCTCAGAAAGGGCATGGCCCCAGAACTGGAGGATTTGGAATGAAAGGAGGCTTAGGGTCTTTCTCAGGTTTGCACCCTCAGTTCCTGGAACCCAGCCTCAGTACTTCACCAGGGAGAGATTGGGGCCTGGAATTTCCTTCCTTTCCCTGAGAAAGAAACATGCTCTCAAGCATTTGAGGGCGCCATTGCCTTCTAATTCAATTTAATAACTTAAGTCAATTCTGTGCTTCTCCGCTTATAAATGGACACTATCAAGTTCTAACAGTGTCTTTGGGAGATAAGTACCATGTTTGTCAGCTCCACTTCACTTGCGGAGAAACTGAACCTCAAGTCCCATTTGGCAAATAATTGGTGGAGGTGAGATTTGAATCCAGGGTTCGCTCTGTCGCCCAGGCTGGAAGTACAGTGATGCAGTCTTGGCTCACTGCAACCTCCGCCTCCCAGGCTTAAGAGATCCTCCAGCCTCCAGCTCTCATGTAGCTGGGACTGCACGTGTGCACCACACCCATCTAATATTTGTATTTTTTGTAAAGATGGGATTTCACCAGGTTTCCCAGGCTGATCTCAAACTCCTGGGTTCAAGCAATCTTCCTGCCTTGGCCTCCCAAAGTGCTGGGATTACAAGTATGAGCCACTGTGCCCAGCCCATCTCAGTTTCATTTGCCCCTCACCCTACCCTGTGGCTGTTTGGGCTTCAAGCCTGGAGGAAAACAGCATTTTTGGAAACTTTTGTCTCTTGACTTACTGAGTTATATTCTTCTCAGCTCTACTTTACAGACTTGGAGGAGCAAAAGGAGGGGCTTTCTTACCCCCACACATGGGAGAAAGGACCCTGCTCCAGCCCACGTTTGCCCTTCTTGAGTAATCTGGGATGAGATGATTTGGGATGGGTGGTGGTTCACTGGCTCTTCCAGCAGAGGAAACAGCCCAGGGCTGGGATGCAGATGCTCTGGGTACGTTGCCCACCCACCCATGCCTCTCACCAACTGTGGGAACAAATAACTTTTCACCTGTGGCCCTCAGTTTCTTCATCAGTGAGATGGGTTAATATGCCTGCTCAGAGGCATTGTTGCAGCAAAAAGAGATGTAAAAGTGTGTGTCAGCTGAAAGCCCTGTGCAAGGATAACAGATGTGGTTACAATTTCCAATGGGTCGATCCAGGGCCCCACAAGGAAGTTGCTTCCCTGAAGGACCAGGTGAAGAAAGAACTTGTGAGCAGAAGCTTCAAACCCATATCCAGAACCAACATCAAGTTGAATCCTCTTGTCCACCCCTAGGCCCTCTGTTTCCTCCCACACCACGAGCACTGCAAGCCTGGCACAGAGAGGAGATGCCGATATTCTCTAGTACAGGGTTTGGCCAAGCACCTTGAGGGCAAGACATAACATCTGTTTTAGCCCTAAACTTTCCAGCTTCTAGCACAGTATGGGCCATACAATGTACATGTGGATGTTGAGTGAAAGAATGAATGAATGAGTGAATGAATAAATGAATGAATGAATTCACAAGTGGACGAAGAAATGCTGGGGCCACAAACAGGTCCAGCTTTTACCTCCTGGCCCCCAGGCTCCCATCCAAGCCTCCCAAACTTATCCTCCACCCTTCCTTTTACACAGTAGTGCATGAAAACAGAGGTACCAAAAAGGCAAACTGGACTTTATTATAAAGTTGGCTACAAAGTCACCGCAGCACCACGAGGTGGCCATCTGGGCAGGCCCAGGCAGTCTGGCGGCCGGGTGAGTCCCGCACCAGGTACACGCACTCGTGCAAGCACACGTGTGACGGCAGGTCTGCCTTCCTCCATCGGAAAGGAACGTAGCGTCTCTTCGCACCCCCCACCCCAGGCGCGGGGTGCAAAAGTCACAGGAAGGGCCGCCAGGGCGGCAGAGTCCATCGGAATTGAAATCCCGTTACTGGTGTGTAGAGAATTCTACGTGGGTGTCAAGAGCCCCTCAGGGCACGGGCTGGCCCGGGTGGGCCTTGCCTTTCCCCCACCAAAGCCTAGGGGTGGCTTGGCCCCTAGGAGTGGAGAACTGGCCCAGGCCAATGGGGCAAGGCGGCGGGGAAGTGAGACTCCCCCATTCTCCGCTTGAAATCCCATTCAAGGAAACTCACTACGAGTGAATACAGATTGAAATGGAAACTGGGATCGCTCGAAGTCTCTTGATTTTAAAAAGAAGCTCCCCTCCCTTGCCCTCCCACCTCCCCCCCCCAAATCCTGCAGGGCCTGGGGAATCATATATATCCCCCTCTGGCCCCCAGAATCCCCCCAACAGTCCCGGGGGGGTGGAGAGCGGCTCCACGTCTTGATGACAATATGCCATACTTGACGACGTTAAGTCACAGACTTATTCAAAACGTTGGTTCCCCTCCACTTCCATCTGCAGAGAGACAGAGAGAGAGAGAACACAATCAGCTAGGCCAATAAGGACAGAGGATCCTGGGGCTGAGAATGTGTTGGTATTAGTGTGGGCTTCAAAGATGTTGGCTCAATGATGAAACGATGGCCAGAGGCTCAGCAGATTAGGGGGCAATTTGGATGGATGGAGTGAAACCGTGGCTGTAGTTTAGGAAGGATGGGGCTGTAACCAGGGAGCTACCTCAATGGAGTCAGGGGCTGAGCCTCATCTTTCTTTTACCAACTTCTATAAACTCTTGCTCTGTATCCCTTTCAGGGAGCTAGGATACTATGATAGAGCTCTAGTTCCTCTTCCATAAGTTTGTTGTGTGCCCTAAGGAAAGTTTCTTTAACTCTGGGACCTTGATTATTTTCATCTGTAAAGTGGGGTAGTGAAGACTGACCTAGGACTCTCTAAGCACAAGCCCTTCCTTAAGGATTCTCTACCACTCTATCCCACAGCCTCAACCCCTGCCAGGTCTACTTGTTCAAACTTTCATATTAAGTCTTTCATTTTTTCTTATCCCCATTGCTACTCTCTGCAGCAGTGGATGTCATCCCCTTAATAAAATCAAGGTACAGAGAGGGGGAATTGATTTACCTAATTCTACCCAGCATTTCATTGGCAGGACAGGGACTTGAGTTCTTGGACCTTTTGGCTGACTCACCTTCGTGGAAGCTGTCTTGAACTTGGCTCTGGAGTTGATGCAACTCATCAGTAAACCCATCATAGGGGAATGCTGAGACACCTGTCTCAAAGGCGGTTTCATATGTGGCCAGGTCCTCCAGGAAGCTGTGGTCTTCTGGGGACAGGTTGTTGCAAGGCGATGGGGCCCCTCCTGGGCCCTCTGCCTCAGGATCCCCTGAGCCCCATTCCTCACTGGGGTCTGGGGTAGAGAGATCCATGAAGATGTCTTCCACGGGCGTCTCTTCCAGGAACATGTTATCAGGGTCAGCCAGGAAGTCCAGCTCCTGGCATTTCCAGGGTTTCAGGTCCAGGCTGAGCACAGGGGGGCCTGCCCCTGACAGGGACAGGTTGGAGTCTAGGGGCTCCAGTCCTCCAAGTGGCTCTAGTCCACCAGTGCCAGCCTCAGCTGAGAAGGGTCTGTCCATGCCCTGAGCCAATTGGCTAATCTGCTGGATGAGACGGTCTATCTCGTTCTGCTCCTTTTCAGAGTAGTGGAAGAAACTCTGCTTGACTGGAGAGGCCTCAGGTGTGAGCAGGCCTTCGGGCACCAGGGGGACATCCACAGAGAGGGGGCCCCGGAGCTGGGCTAGGGCCAAAAGCGTGCAGTCCCCATTACCAGGGCTGCTAGGACTTGGGGGCAACTTCTCATAGAGAAAACTGCATCCCTCCTGGGCAAAGTAAGTCTTGGTAGGATTGGGACTCAGTTGCTCTGGGAAGGTTTGGCTGGGGCTGTCCAGGTGTGCTTGGAATGCTGTGCTGGGAGGAGTCAGCTGTTCATGGGCAGGGCTGCCCAGAGGCTCTGGGAAGGTGGCTGTGCTGGGAAGCAGCTGGTCTGGGAAGGTGGAGGTGCAGGGATTCAACTGGTCTTCATAGCTTCTGACTGAGGTTTCAGTCAACTGGCCTTGCAGTGGGCTAGTTAGTGGATCTGGGAAGGTTGCACTGCTGGGCGTCAACTGATCAGAGAAGGTCGCTGTGCTTGGAGTCAGCTGTTCTTGAAGAGTGCTGGATGGGGTGGGCAAGTGGGTCTGGAAGGGCTCATGGAGGCTGAAGAGGAAGGCACAGCCTCCTGGCTGATGGGGCGTGTACGGTGGAGTGCACACAAGATCCTTGCTCAGTTCTGCTTGGAGAGAAGGCTCAGGCCCAGAAGGGAATGTCAGGTAACTGAAGTCCAGTTCTTTGGAGGGTCGGGGAAGCTCTTCTGATGCAGAGACAACACTCAGTTCAGGAGCACTGGGGAAGGTGGTGCTTCTGGGAGCCCCCAGGGCTGTGGTGAAGAGTGGGTTAGTGCTGGGGCACTGTTCCTGGGAAAGAATGTTTTCAGGGAATGAGGGCAGCATGGTCGGAGTGCCCAGGACATAAGCTGCCTGGGTATCTTCAGAGTTCAACTGCTGGCGGAGGCTCCAGGCTTCCATGTCACTGGAGAGGAGAGAAGACGCAGCTGGTAAGGGTCTGATGTCCATTTCCAGAGCAGTTCCCTGATTTGTATGTCCTCCATGCCGACCCCAGCTGCCCTCTAGGCCCCTGGCTTGTGGCTTACCTGATTGGGTAGTTATTGGCAGTAATGGGGCCCTCTGGACCTTCTGAGTATAATAGGCAGTAAATCCATGCCCAGCCTCCAGTCTTGGCCTGTAACCTCACCACCATCTCTGCCTGAATATCTCCACTCTCAGCCACTGGGGAGAAAGAAGATGCAGAGTTAGGATGCCCAGCAGGCAACTCTACCTACTCCCTGCCCTTGGTCACCTCTCCACTGAATTGAGATAGCCATGACATCCTCTCTTCTGACTACCCTCACCTGCACCACTCAGCTCTCTACCTTGACCTCACCACTCAAAGTCCCCCAGTTCTGATTCGATTATTGCCTTGAATCCTCACCCTCACATTCACCCTATAGCGTCTGAAACTGTTGGCCTCTGTTATCTCCCCAGCATCACTCTTGACTACAGCTCATCTTTGTCTGGTCTCCCATGCCCTTTCCCAGCTTGCTGTCTTGTCCCCAGCCTCTCTGGACACTCACACAGGCGGTAGTGTTGAGCAGAAGCGTGGGCCAGGTCCTCGGGGTGCAGCAGTCCATACCATGATTTACAAAGCAGTTCACTGCGCTCAAAGCCCAGGTAGATTAGGACACTGGGAAAGTGGAAAGGGTGAGGTCAGCTTTCTGTTTTCCTTGCTTGATACCCATGCATCTCACTCCCTCCCAGATCCTCTGCCCCCTTAAACCCCATCCTCCCTGCCCCTGACTCCAGAATCTAGGGTTCCTTCATCTCTGGCCTGCCTTCCTCTTGGAATCTGAACACTCCAGGCTTACCTCTCAGAGATGTCCAGTAGGGCTAGGTCTTTAGCATGACGACTCTGGAACATGGCCAGGAAGAGTGAGGCAGGGCCAGGGCCAGGGCCAGGGCCAGGGCGGGGTCTTGGCTCCAATGGGGCACAGAAAGCTGTGAACACGGGGTTTCCTGCCCAGTAGGCCCCAGGTGGGTGAGCATGGAATCGGCCTCGAATAAGCACCAGTTTGTTGCCTGCACTCTGGCGCCTGAGGGACTTGGAGGTGTTGAAGCGGCAGCGGAAGAGGCGATCTAGATAGGAGAAGAGAAAAACAGATAAGAGGGTGAGTGGCTGAGAGAGACAGTGGATAGTGGGAAGAAGGGCAGCAGGTGGGAAATTGGACTCAGGAAGGGAGAAGGGAGTCCTTACCAGTGTCCAGGGCAGAGGGCAGGGTGAGTTGCTGGCGCACAGTGAGGTGGTCAGCTGGGTCAATGATGTCGTAGATGCTGTCACCCTGGGCAACCAGGTCCACCTGGAGGAAGGAAAAGAAGAGATGACCGTTAGTGAGAACAGCAGAAGCCAATCTTTGATATATAGTGTCTAGTAGGGTATAACCTCTTCCTCCATAGTAATTTCCAGTTCCTCAGGAGTGGAAGGCTCATGGCACCCCCTCCATGCCCAGCCTCAGCTGAAAAGACCCTCAGCACTCACCATGGAGTGGCCCAGATGCTCGCTCACACTCTCAGACAGGTACAGCAATTTCCCCTCGGCCGTGAACACAAGCAGAAAGCCGGGTAGGGCCGCTACGATGTCCTCAAGTTCTTGAGCTGAGAGAAGCCCCGTGGGGCCCGCCAGAGGAGTGCCTGTAGGGCGAGAAGACGTGGTGAGTCAGGAGTAAGACTGGGAGCCAAAGCAGAAGTGAAGAAGGCATGGTCTGAGTTTCAGATAATCCAGAGGAATTTCTCGTGGACCTGCCTCTGCAAACACCTGTTGACCCGCTGCCCGCACCTCTTGGCCGGGGAACCTGTTGCTGTATCTCCTCCATAGCCCACAAGCCCCGGACTTCTAAACCGGGGTCGGCTACTCCTCGCCTCTGAATTTCAGAACCGTGGACAGAGCTCCAAAGTGGCTCTGATTTCAGAACCGTGGACAGAGCTCCGAAGCGGGCTGTGGGTTCAGCACCGTGGACAGCGCAACACACGGCAGATGCGGCCGTCAGCACCATGGGCAGTGCCCCGAAGGCGATCCCTTTCAGCACCGCGGACAGTGGCTATGTTCCCCTAGGCTCAGGCGGCTCCATCCCTGCAACTTCCCGGGCTTCCCTCCCCAGCTCCCGGAGCGCCTCTGCACTGGCGGGCACCGAGGCAGCTCTGTCCTGGCTCTTCTTCTCTCATAATCTGGTGTTAGGGACATCGACCAGGCTCTCTAACTCTCATTCAGAACTAAGGTGAGGTCTGGAGGGAGCTCAGGAGGAAAAGTAGATAGTCCCGCATCTCCCGAGTCCCAAATCTCCCCAGCTCGCCAGTACGCTGCCCTAGACATGCGGCAGCCCCAGTGGGTTCCCTCAGTTCCAGGGTCTCCGGCACCTGGCAGCTCGGATCTGCGGTAGCCCCAGCATGCTCACCTCCAGCGAAGAAGACACCCTTGCGAGTGTAGATGCAGGCGAGGCTCATGATGTGCAGGTAGGACAGCCGGACCTTGTCCGCTTCAGCCAGCGGCAGCAGCTCCTTGAGGTTCCGGATCTCGGCGTTGATCTGGTCCCGGCGCGCCTTGGAGGCGCCCTTGGTGGAGCGGTACATGACCGGCGGCTGCGGAGCTCCAGCTCGGGCGCCCGAGCACCTGCGCTCCCGTCCCGACGCACCGGCGGCGGCTTCCTCCTCCGTGCTTCCCCTTCTCTCGCTCAGGCTCGTTCTCTGCTCTCCTGGGCTCCGCTCGGCTGCGCTGCCCCCCTTGCCTGCCTCACGCCGCCTTATATAGCTCCTGCCAGGCGTGGGGGGCTCGTTTTAGAGCGGGGGGGCGGGAGAGCGGGAGGCTGGGCTAAGCAAGCTGCAGCGGGAGCCGCTGACTGGGGAGGGGGGCTCCTCCTCCCGCCCGGCTTCCGACGTCATCTCATGACGTAGAATGAGAGCGGGAGGGGGGCGGGCGAGGGGGGAGCAGGAGGCTGCGGAGGGGGCCGAGCCTGGAGGGAGCTGAGCGGAGAGGCAGGCGCTGCGTTAGGAAAGCTTGAATGGGGTGTGGGGACCCTGGCGTCCGAACGCATACAGTTGAGGGAAGCGACAGGGCCAGGGTTAGGGAGGCCTGAAGCCCCCGGCAGGAGTTTGCAGAGGGCAGAGAGGGGCCGGCACTGACACTAATTTTTCTGAGGAGTTGAGGGAATGGGGAGGAATAAGACTGTCTACAAATCCCCCTCGTTACTTGACAAACAAGGTCACGTTCACATGCAGGGAAGGAGGACTTTCCTTGGCCTCCGTGGGACAGGTCACAGCTGGGGTTCCTCTCTGGGGACTACTTAACCTGGGATTCCCTTGGCCATTTTCAAAGAAAAAATCCCCACCCCCGCTTCCCAAATTGGGACTTGGCGGCTAATCAGGGAGTGTTCATGGGGGGTCTAAGTCCCTAGGAGGGGTGGAAAGGGAGTCCGGTGGGAAAGGGACCAGCTGAATTTGGCGTTGATCCTGTTTTCCCACAGCCAGGAATAGAAACCAACACCAGGGCTGTAGTCTGCAGTGATTCTTGGTTTCCCTCTCAGCTAATTAACCTTACTGACAGGGGAAACTGAGGCAGGGACGCAGGACACGGCGAGGACCTGGGTCTGCACTTAGGCATCCCTTCCCCCCGTTGCCGGCCCCCAAGCGAGCGCTTCCCCCCGCCCTGCTGCCAGCCTCGGTCTCCCCGCGGGCCGGGGGCGGGGGCGGGGCCGGGGGAATCCCAGCTCCATATTAGGACAGGAATCCTCCGGCGGCTGCCGCGGCTGCGGCGGCGGCGGGCGGGGCCTCGCTGCCTCCGCACCGCTCCGGAGGGCTCCCCGCCCTGCCTAGGCGGGCAAGATGGGGGAGCAGCCGAGAAGCAAAGGAACAGCGCTGGACCCTCTATGACCCCTGCACCTACCAGGGACCCTGTATTTTCGCCAGGTTCCCTCCACCCCCTCCACATTTGTGGCGCTAGGGCTGCGGGCTCTGCCTCTCCACCTTCGACTCTCCACTCCCCACCTTCGTTTTTTTTTTCTCTTAGCGTGTTTGGTGGTCGGCTCAGCTTAGTGCCTTGACCCCTGAAGCTTCCCCTTTCCTTCTTCTCCATATCCTGTCATCTTTGCTTTATCCCCACCCCCCACGCCCGCTTTTTTCTCTTTTCACCACAGATTATTGCTCTCTACAGGGGCAAGGAGGTGCCGTTCTTAGCCCGGGATTCAATAATGCAAGAAGCAAGTGGGCTAGGGAATGTTCTTATCTGAAATCTCGTTTGATGGAGTAGCTGTGTGCGCATGGAATCGCTTAAGAGGCTGGAAATGAGGCCACTTAAAAATTGGAAGAGTGGGACTGGGAATTCCCAGTCACACAGGAAGCATGGAGATGAACTTTGACATCAAAAAGAACAGCTTGGGGCCAGGGAACTCCCCACTCCTCAAGGAAAGGGGTGGTAGCAACAGAGGTAGAGTGGGAGGAGAGGCAGCTGAGGAGAAGTATGTCTTAGAAGAGGGGTACAAGGTGTGGAGACCCTATTCTTGTGTCTTATGCATTTTGACAGAGGTTGGGGCCATCCTGTGGTCAGTGTCGCAACTGAGGTGGAGGGAATGATGTCCGTGTGTCTGTCTGCCACAGTCTCTAACCCTATTGATCTGGATGACAGAGAGATGATTCCTCCTGGACATGGGTCTGTGTTGCTTCTTTCATCTCAATCTGACCTCTGATGTACCTACCCACCCCTCTCTCAAGCTTCCATTTCAACAACCCTTGATCTTTGGATCCCCTTCCGTATGAAATTCCAGGGGGGTTGTTCCTGTGTTCTTCACCCACTGATGATAAAGCTGCCTGTGAGGCATTCTGAGTGTCCCTCTCCACAATAAGAGGAGTCTACTGGCTGGGTCCCATGGCCTCCAGCAATCTGAGCGAATCTGCAGTGAAGGAATGGGGCGCCAACCGCTGTCCGTGGTGCTGAAAGAGTCACCGGGGAAGTCAGGCTACGGTTTGACGGGGACATCGAAGTAGGGCTTTGGGTACCCACAGGCCTCAGAGTGAGCCTCCCCTTTGACTGTCCCCTTATTTTCTGTGAATGAATATGGGGGGTTTGCAGGGAGCCAAGATTTCTGGGCTCTAGGGGTGAAGTAAGCAAGGGAGGAGAACTGGGCTCAAGGGAAGAGCCCCTGGCTTTTTCCAGAAGAATGGAATGGGAAGAAGCACTTTGGAAGGAAAGAAGGGTCTAGAAAGGGACAAGGGAGGGGGTAGAGAAGGGCTCATCCTAGTTCGCCCACTCTGATTCAAGTTGAGAAGCTCTGTATGCCCCGATGTCTCTTCTCCCTAGGCCAGCTCCCACTCCCCTTGCCTCCCACCTCCGTGAAGCTATTTTTAACCGTGCAGAACCAAAAATAGCTTGGCAGCAGCTTCAGGCCGTGGGAGAGGAGCTATTTATATCACCAGTGACGGTTCCGAAATAGCAAGCAGGAGGAGGGGGGCGGCTGGCACACTAGAGAGCTCCTGGCCGCTGCTAAAAATACTGGCAGTGTGAGTCATCCTGGCCTGGCTGAGTCACCCCACTCTCTCCCCCAAGTGGCAGGCAGCAGCAGCAGAACAAGCTAAGAATTAGAAGCCTGAGATGGGGGAGGCATCAGAGTCTGCCGGCTGTGGGAAAGTGGGCAAGAGAGTGAATTGGGAGAGGGGCTTTGGGGTGAGTGTGTAGAAGGAATGGGAGAGCACAGCCTCTCAGCCAAACCTACTGGGCAAGTGTGCAGCATCCCCAGCTATGCAATACCGCTCAAGGATGCTTGGGCAATTGAAGGAAAAGAGCCAGACTGTGTGTGTGTGTGTGTGTGTGTGTGTGTGCGCACGCGCCTGTGTTCATTTCACTGAGACTGTGTTTGTGTGTCCTGTGTGTTTGCCTCTAAACCTGTCTGAACGTGGTTGCACGTCTATATCTCTATCTGTTTGCATGTGTCTTTGTAGCTGCAAGTCTGTACCCCTGTATATCTATGTGTTTACCTATGTCTGCATCTATGTCTGTCTTTTTTTTGGTCTCCAACTTCTTATGTTGTGTGCAGTTCTATGTTTGTGCCTGTGTGTATTTATGTCTACAACTTTCCATATGCCTCTCTGTCAGTGTCTGTGTTTGTGTCCATATCTGAGTCTGCTCTGGGTCTTTCAGCATCTGATGGCGTGGTGGGATGTGCATGCATCCCCAGACTCAGTATAGCTTCTGTTGCTCTCTCTGATGTCACCTGTTGGTCTCCTGCACCATCTATATCTTGCTCACCCCTTTCCACCTAGCATATTCTCCTCTTTCCAAGGGCCCCCTAACCATTTAAAAAGCTCTCTTGTTGCATGCAATCTCTAGTAAAAACATGGAGGAAAGGAGCCCCACATGACCTCTCCCTTTTCTCTTGAATCATCCTGAATTCTCCCTGGCCTGCAGGAGTAAGTGGTTTTCCATCACTCCATATTTGGAGAGCTGAGAGAAGAGAAGGGCTTTCTTTAGTTCTTAAAAAAAAAAAAAAAAAAATCCTGGTGTGGGCACAGGCATGCGTAGCGCGCATGCACACACACACACAGGCGCACATACACATGCACGCACACACACACAACTGAGAGAATGAGAGAGAGAGAAAAAAATCAAGGTCCCTTCTTTACTGAGAAGAGCTCGCATCTGTTGCCATAGCAACCCACCCACTCCTTCCCCGAAAAATCACCAAGAAGAGGTGATGGCATCGAGGAGGGATTGGCTGATTCCTTTCTTTATTATTTTTTCCGAAAAAGGGTTTTTGTAGCAAAAACGGGCCGTGAGTTCCCTTGCCCCTGTCTTGCACAGCTTTATTGGGAACCTGGGGGAGGGGCATAACCCCCCAGCTTTTATCAGAGAAGAGGAGGTGTATCTTTTCCAGAGATTTGGAGGAGGATTATCTCCTGGGAAGGAGTTGAAGGGTAGCTGAGGAATCTGCTTCTTCAGAACAGCATGGAGACTCCTGGCTGCTAGTCTGGAGATATGGAGCAAGGATCTTGACAGAGGGCTGTCAAAGTGTGATCTTGTCTTGCTCTGGACAAATGTGTCTACAATGAAGAGAAAGGGGGAGGAAGGGAAGGGAAGTTGGGAGAGACAGAAAGAATATGAATGAATGAATCACTGAATGGGGCTTCAGAGAAAATGACAATATGCCAAAGGATGCAAGCTTGCAGTAGTGGTCAGACCAGACAGGTGGGCAAGATGGTCCAAGAAAGATGTATTGATGCAATTGGTGGTGCTGCAAGTCACCAATGAGACCACAGCTGCAACTACTTAACTTGTGGCCACAGGTGAATGTTCCAGAGGAGCACTGATGCCCATTTTTCACAATTCTATTCCCAGCCTGAGTCTCAAAGGCCTCCTCCAAAGCCTGGCCACCAGCCACTGCAGCCACATCACTCTCTCAAGTGAACTGTAGCTTCCTGCCAAACGACTGGATGGTGGAAAGAAAGGGATTCCTTGTTTCCTCCTGTGCTTGGCTTGTTACAGAAATGGGGTCACTTGGGGCTCGAGCTTGGAAAGACAGATGAAGAATCTGACCCTGGAGAGAGACACCTTCTTTTCTGGCAGGCTGCTGCCACCCTCAGCAGGCAAGGGCATGGCCAGGTGAGGTTGGCATGGGCAGCGGGTGCAAATCCACTTAACGTTATGGAGCAGAGGGACAAAAAGACTCCAGATTTGCTCTGGCCTGTTAGACACATTCTCACGACAAATCTGACTGATATCATTATTTTTATTTATATACAGTCTTGTTCTGCCATCTAGACTAGAGT